CTTGCATTGTTTTTCACATGAGCTTTTAGGGAAATGCCTCTTAAGTAAATACTAAAACCTGCATAAAAGTGATTTTTCTCTCTTTCATAGTAAATAAACATTTTTCAATGACCATCCCCTAATCGTGTTGTCATCATAAGGGGGTTCAAAGAGGTCTATCCAGGGGCAGAGATGCCTATTCGAACCTTCTAGGTTCTTGACACATCACCTAAAAGTATTGAAGGACACATCAGGTTTTAGTAAAGAGGAAGAGCTTTATTTGAAAGGCAAAGGGAAAGACACACATTCTTAGAGCACAGTGCAGACTCTCTCAAGAGCAAGAAGTGCTTTGGGGATCCCGGTCTCTTCTTTTACAGGAAACTTTGTAGGAGTAGGCATGGGAAGGTATATGGAAATGACTTCAGTCTGGTGAATTCAGTACTTTGATCATGGATTGCAAGATGTTCATGGTAGTCTTGTCTTCTCCCGGGATCTTCAGTTTGATATTGTCTCTTATTTAGATAACATGTGGGATGTGCCTTAAAATATACCCACTTTTGCTTTATCTAATCTGAAAATACATTGTGTAGTGACCTTCAGCTTTAATCAGAATGAGGCAGTTTTTCACAGATGAGTGAATTTATAGTAACCCTAAGATTTGTAGATTTCTCAGAATTTTTTTTTTCTGGAGAAAAAAAAAAACAGGTTTGGGGAGTAAATCTGGCCATAGAGCTTTCAGATATACAATTATAGTTTTTTCCTTATCTTTTATCTCCTTTTACATATCTTTATTCCTTTTCTTACTGCAGTGTGACTTGGGTCAATCCAGCAACTTGAAGTTAATCATACAAGTCTGACTCCCCTTGCCAATGACGAATTTAGAGGCAGGCATGTGACCTAGTTCGGGACAATAAGGTGTGAGAGGAAGTCTTCTAGATGGTTTTAGGAAAGGTTTCTTAGCTCTAGAAATGAGACATAACTGGGAACAAATAGGTCAATTCAATTTCTTGACATTGGTTCATATCAGGATAAGATGCCTGGAACTGCTGCTATCATTTTATTATTTATCTAACCTGAAGAGCCACAGGCAGACTAGAAAGATGAGAAGAATCCAGGGAACTGACATAACCAACCCTGAGGCCTTTTTGCCTCCAGATTTCCTGTTATGAGATAATCCATCCCCTTATTAAAATATTTCATGTCACATATTATAAATGTGTATCTTAAAAAATGATAAATGATTAAGAAATGAAAAACATATGGATAAAATAAAAGATATCTATAGCCAAATCCGGAGGCAGGCAGTTTATTATGCTGATATTTCCCTTGACATTCACATTAAACACTCATATTTCTTTTTTTTTTTAAGTTTCTTTTTTAGTTGTAGTTAGACACAGTATCTTTAATTTTTTATGTGGTGCTGAGGATAGAACCCAGGGCCTCACACGTGCTAGGTGAGCGTTCTACCACCGAGCCACAATCCCAGCCCCCAAAACTCATATATTTATTATGGAAGGTATCCCTGCATTTATTCAGATCAACTAGGAGACCCATATCTTCCATGTTTCCATGGTGTAGTCCTCAGAGAAGTTCCAAGGTCTAAGTCATCACTATTACTCCCCAAGTTTCAGACTAAAATGCTGTCCACCAAGATGTCCTTGAGAACAGATGAAAGAGCTCCATTAGGTCTGCAGCTCTGGCTGGCTGTCCCTAAAGGTGCTGTTGTTAGCCCTGCCACTACCTTCCTTGTTCAGCATCTGGGTTCCTTATCCTTGTAATAATTTTTTGATCTGAAAGCTGCTGCGTCCTATATACACACACAGCCATGCTAGCTTTCTTTTGATTGGCACTAACATGGTGTATCTTTTTCCATCCTTGTTCTTTTATTTGTATGTTATGTGTAAAGTGCGTTCCCTGTAGGCAGCATATAGTTAGGGCTTGCTTTGTTTATGTAATCAATCTCTTCCTTTTATTTGCAGTAGTTACTTTCTAGTTCACTGCTTTAAAAAGAAAAGAGGACATTCTTCTCTGCTCTGTTTGAATGTGTCCTCTAAAATTTCCTGTGTTGGAAACTTAATCCCTAAATTCATATGCCAATGTTATTTGAAGATGCACCTTTGGTAGGTAATTCAGATTAGATGAAGATTTTATAAGATGAAGAGACCTGAGCTATCAGGCCATGTGATGTCCTCTGCCACTTTTATTTTGTACCAGGGATTGAACCCAGGATGCTTAACCACTGAGCCACATCCCCAGCTTTTTTTTTTTTTTTGGTAAGACAAGGTCTCACTAAGCTGCTTAGGGCCTTGCAGAGTTGCTGAGGCTGGCTTTGAACCCACAATCCTGCCTCAGCCTCCTGAGTCACTGGGGTTACTGGTATGTGTGCCCTGCTTCCCTCTGCCATGTTAAAATGCAGTAAGAGGCCCCTTATCAGGCTGACACCATGCTTCCAGAATTTGGATTTCTCAGCCCCCAGAACTGTGAGCTAAAGAATCTATATTCTCAATAAATTTCCCAGTCTGTGGTACTCAATTATAGCAACAGAAAACATTAGTCTCTCTTCTCTTTATACCCTAACAACATTTTAAAAAATGTTGCTCCCTACATAGATTTACAAGATGATGGCAAGGAGTTTGGAAATATAGCTGTGCCTGGCTTGGGACATGTGGTAGGGACAGTTAGAGAAAATGAGAACTTTGTAGATTACTGTAGTAGTTTAGTTACTGAGGACATGAAATTTAATAAATACCTCTGAATAATGTGTTTCTACTGAAAGAAAAGTTGGTGACAGACTGTTATAGTCACCGAAATTTATCTAGAGATCTTTTCTCTGATCTCTAGATAAAATCTTTGTCACTCCTACCTGAAATTATGTAAAGAATTAGACAGTTTCAGTGTCTGATCTGGTATACACTTGGAGCAATTAATGCTACCTTTCCTTATACAGTTAAGGAAAAGGAAATCAGAAAAGTAAAATATATGCCCCAGGCCATGCCCCTCCCTGGCTAGTGCTAGAGTCTGGAATATAACCCTTCCCTATTTCCAAAAGGACTGGCGAACCTCATTGCTCTAGTGTTAATTTTTGATTTTTAGTTAAAAAGGTACATGTTAATTTCTACTCTACATCTTTGTTTTGATTTGTGGTCCCACTCAGAATCTGAGAAAAAATAGCAACAAAACAAAGAAAATCATATAAGAACAGAATGAAACCCACAGATAGCAATATAGATAGTTTCGCAGAACAAATGGGACACATGGTAAAAGGACACAATGAAAGAAAATGACAGCATTTTCCAGGGAGGTAAATGTAGTACAGGATTATCAGCCCCATCTTGTGGCTTTCTTTAGATATTGCTTCTAAGATTCATTTTTAAAAAAAAAAAAATATTTATTTTTTAGTTGGACACAATATTTTTATTTATTTATTTTTATGTGGTGCTAAAGGATCGAGCCCAGGGCCTCACAAGTGCTAGGCGAGCACTCTACTGCAGAGCCACAACCCCAGGCCCTAAGATTCATTTTTGAACCACTAACCATCACTGGACACCTGACAACTTGTTGGGTGAGAAGATCTAGAACAATGACTCTCAAACTTTAGTGTGCTTGAGAATTACATGGTGATCACATGAAAATGCAGATTCCTGGCCAAGACAGGTAAGAAGGATGAAATGGGGTCTGGGAATCTCCATATACAAAGCTCCCCAGGTGAATATAGATCCCATATAAGAAATACTGAAGGCAATGAAAATTAGTGATGTGCATTCCCTATGACGAAAGGGCTATTCTGAAAAAATTTGGAAGAAAATTATCTAGAACTGTAAAGGGTTAGAAATTTTATCCTACTTGCAAGAAGTTAGCTTGCTACAGTTTCATGAACGCTGGTAGGAGATATGAGTCCACTGGGTCAGAGATAAAGGACAATTCTTAACAGCAGTAAGTGTAGTCAGCGTTGTTACTGGGCCAATTTCCTGAGCCTCAATTCCCACAAGTCTTTGTGATAAGGGCCCCAGTAGGTTGCATTATAGAAGAGAAATTCCCAAATTTAGGAAACTGGAATCTATAATGGGGACTACTTCTGCCAGAACTTTGTCTGGACGAGACAAAGTTGTTCACCTTAGAAACATCCTTGGAAAATTCAGACAGTGCCTCTGCTCTCAAGACACAGGCGCCCAACACCAAGAGTCCTTTCTCAGCAGAAACCAGGAATAGAAGCACCGCTTGTGAACAGTATCCTACTCGTGAAAGCTGCAAAATAATCACACTGATGCAGGAAAGGGGAATCGGAGGGGCTCAGCCCGGCAAACCCTGCAGGAATTCAGCTTGGATTCTGGTTCAAAGAAGTCCTTTATTCCTTTGCTTTAATGGAGACCTGCCTGATGTCAGGAGCATGTTCCACACTTACCTCACTTTCAGCCTCACACTTCATAGGGACGAGGTAAGTTACAGTCATTTCCCTCACAAGCAGACACATCCTGAAACACTAGACTCATTCAACCCCGGGGCAAGAACCGCGTCTTCTCAGAGGCCTTCCCACCACCCGCTTTCCTCGCTGCTGCCTCCAGGCCAGAAGACTGGCCAAAAAGAAGTGATGGACGATGGCTTGAGTGACAGGCCTTTACGAAGGCACCGCCACTCTAAGCGCGAGCCCACCGGAAGCTGCTTTAAGACCCAGCCACGACTTCGGAACCAAGTCAGGATCCCGGGTGTCTCCCATGTCGCGGGCCAGAGGTTTCCAGGACTCGGTTAAGGAAGGGGTTCCTAGACTTCATTTCCCACTTCAATAAGGACGCAGGCGTCCAGTGACACCAGGGTGCGCAGCGCAGCGCGGCTGGGGGACGCGCCCGTCGGCAGAGGGCGGCGACAACCAGCTCCGCAGCCCACCCGCTCTTCCCGCCTTCTCGCGCAAACAGGAAGTGGGGCGGAACCAGCCAAGCACGCCACTCGCGATTGGCCAGCGCCGCCGCCGCTCACCGCCGCGAGAGGAAGGGGTTGGGCACCGCCTACCGCCCGGCTGTCGGCGACTTGCCTAGTGGGAGGGACACAAGCCAAAGTTACGGGTGCCGGATCCCGCAGCTCATGGGTCATGGAGCCCGGGCCTGCCGCGTCCCCCGGGCCTTCCCGCTCCTTCAAAGAGGAGCTGCTCTGCGCCGTCTGCTACGACCCCTTCCGCGATGCGGTGACGCTGCACTGTGGCCACAACTTCTGCCGCGGGTGCGTGAGCCGCTGCTGGGAAGTGCAAGTGGCGCCCACCTGCCCCGTGTGCAAGGACCGGGCGTCACCCGCCGACCTGCGCACCAACCACACCCTGAACAACCTGGTGGAGAAGCTGCTGCGCGAGGAGGCCGAGGGCGCGCGCTGGACAGGCCCGCGATCCCCGCGCCTCTGCCGCTTGCACCGCGGCCAGTTGAGTCTCTTCTGCCTCGAGGACAAGGAGCTGCTCTGCTGCTCATGCCAGGCCGACCCCCGCCACCGGGGACATCGCATGCAGCCAGTGAAGGACACTGCCCACGACTTTCGGGTAAGAGTGGCGGTGAGCGCCCAGTGATTCAGCGCACTCGTAGTGGCCGGGGCTGGACCGCATCCCTGCACCCGGGCTCCGCCCTCCAGCCTGCTAGCGCTGCGCGTGCTCAGGCCTCCCGGGCTCCCCGCTCCAGCTCCGGGGCTTCCTCAAGACCTCCACCGCGAATGTGGTTATCTGTTGGGTCTGCCTTCTTCAAGGCCGGCCCAGGATGGGTCAGAGAGTGCAAACAGGAAGTGGGAGACAGGGTCAGCGCCCTTCTCCAGACAGCCCCGCCCCTTTCTGAGCGGCGGTGGCCAGGTCCCTCTGAGCTGCACCAGTGTGGGTAACGCCCACGAACCCTCAGTTTAGAAGTGGGAGAGGAGCCCAGGACCTGGCAAGGGATGTAGAGCCTTAAGGTTTCCGCAGCTCAGTCACCGTCCTCAGCCGATCCCAAAGTTTGTGTAACTGCAGGGAGAGGCCCTTGGCTCAGGCCCACTGGTTGATTCTCTATCATTCTTTTAGCATCTTAACGCGGAGAGTTCCAATAGCTGTGGAGCTATTAGCCAGAGGAAGGAGTGAGGGAAGGTATGTGGCAGAGACAGTAGTGTCTGGAAGGGTCTGGAAGTGGGGAAACCTGACTTTCCAGGCACCTAGAGAATTTCAGTGGTTACAACGGGATGGAGATGCAGATGGAGCCTTGTGTCAGGCCAGTGGACCCTCAGGGTGATGCCTGAGAGGCAGGGAATGGTCTAGTCCAGGGCAGCTGAGGACAGTGCAAGCAGAGCCTGGCCACCTGACTCAGGATGCGACTCATTCATTTACCAGACAAACGTGAGCTGAGGGCCTCCTGTGTGCCAGAACCTGTTCTGGGTGCTCAGGTCCCTGAGATAGCCCCTTATCTTATGAAGTTCATGTTTTAGAGGGGGAAGTCAGGGGTTAGTAGACAAGACATGGTTCTGCATGGTTGGACATGCGTGGTGGTTCTGGGGGGAGCAGTATGGGATCCCCCCTCCCATTCCACTGCCATGTGAGAAGGAGCTAGGTCAAAAGCCCTGCTGGCTGTGGGGAGCCCTGTGGGATTCTCAGACCTGGTGGGGGGGGGGGGGTGGGATGAGATAGTATGTTTTAGAAAAAAGTTCACTTTGGCCACCATCTAAGGATGAAGCAAAACTAAAAATCATGAGGGTGGATACTTGTTGAGTACTTGCTATATGTTAGATTCTCTTAAGCATGTGCATGTTAGCAAATGTAATGCTCACAAACGTTCAACAAGGCTGGGTGTGTTAGTTTTCTATCATTGACACAGTAAACTGGCACGAACACAGTGGTTTAAAACAGCATAAGTTGATTGTAGTTCTAGAGGTCAGAAGGCCCAAATTCAAGCTGTCTGCACAGCTGCATTCCTTATGGAGGTTTCAGGGGAGAACATGTTTCCTTGTCTTCTCCATCTTTAGGGAGCATGACTCTGACTTCTGCTTCAGTTATCTTATTGCCTTCCTTGGCTGACTACCAGCTCTCTCATAAGGCCCTCGTGATTACAGTGGACCCACTCAGATGATCCAAAGAAATCTCCCCGTATCAAGATCCTTAATTCCGTCATCTGCAGAATCCCTTTTGCCGTAACATTCATGGTTGTAGTGATTAGAACTTGGGCTTTGCAGGATTGTGGAGCATTTCAGCTTGCTGTAGGTAGTAGCGTTATCCCTACCTTACAGTGTAATGAGGTACAGTATAAAGACAGTCTCAGTTTAAGTAACTGCCAAAGTCACAGAGCTAGTAGCTAGACTTCCCCTGGGCCTAGTTTGGTCCCTGCTCTGGTCATGGGCTTTGAGAGAGCCTTCTCTCAGTGCTGCTGGTGCTCTGATCCCAGAGCTGTGGGCAGCCAATTGTGTTTGGATAAGCAGGCATCTGGGTGGCTGTTGATCATTGTCAATGTGCGGAGAGCAGATAGGTTGAACACCTGCAGTGTGCTGGGCACAGTGTGTCCAGCAGAATACAGTCCAGTCCTAGAGACCCTGCCTGGATGAAGTTGACAGGCACAGTTGAATACTCTCACTAATAATTGAAGTTTCAGTGAAGGATGGGACATTCTAAGAGGAAGGCCTGCTTTTCTCGTCTGTTGAGTCATGGGAAGGAACCTCTGAAGATCTGATTTCACAAGACCTGAAGGCCCAGAGGAGTAAGGGAAGGCCAGTAGCAGTAGTGGGGGCATTGGGTGGGGCCTGCAGTGACCGAAGGACATTCTACATGAGGAATGAAGAAGTTTGGGACAGATCCCACAGGGCATCCAAGGACATGTTAAAGAGTTTGCCTGGTGTGAGATATGACCAGAAGGACTTAGGAAATTTTGGAATATAATGGAAATGTTTAAACAGAGCTCTGGAAAGAATACAAGTGCTTGGGGGACCTTAGGAAGTCCTGGAGCGCAGTGTTTCTCAAACCTGAACAACGTGCCTGCTCTTCTTAAAGGAAAAAGTGTTCCAACAGTGTGGCTTAAATATGTTACCATGTAGGTACACACAAGCACAAAACATATAAATTGCTCTTGCCTATATCACAGATATGCAATAAACCAAAGGAAGTTGCCAGATTAAGTCCAAGCAAAATTAGGATCTATACAATTCCAGTTAAAATATTAATTATAAGATTTTATTTTGCTGAAACTAAATCTTTACTCTTGGCAGAGATCCTTTTGATTGATTCTCTTTACTGTGTTCCAAGTGCTGGCTTGATTCAGGAGTCAAAAGCTTCCCTGTTTGAAGAACTCAGAAACTCAAACTCAGATGATGCACATGGCACATGGTTGGCCAGCTTACAGCACCCATACACTCTCTACCTGCTGAATGTACTGCTCTTCCCTCGTTAGGCCAAGACCATGACACTCATACAGACTAGTGCCATTTACACATGCTGGTGCTGATGTTGTAGGAACCAAGAGCATGTGTCACACTGTGTATGAGGTAACTCAAGATGGGCTTTTCTTGGTGGGTTTTGTTTTGTTCATCATTCAGCGAAAACACTAACTCAGAATTCTCTTAGACTACTTGCAAATCCACAAAATACTCAGACACAAACCCTTCCAGGGGACTGTGAAGATAGTTACATTTACTAATGAGAAAATGGAAACTTGGGAAAATTCATGCACTTTTTGCAGCTTTGGGGTAAACATGGTAAAATTCTCGGGTCAGAACTCAAGTTTAGTGTTTTTAATACCAGACCCACTCCAAACTCTCTCCGAGGCCCAGGCCTCTAACTGCCTTGTCTGGACCCCTTTCTTATACATGCCTCTGGACTTTGATGTCGGTCCCGAAGCCTTGGTCCCCTGCCTGGGGCTACCTTCTCAGAATCAGCCTGAGAAGTGTCAACCGAGGGATTCCAGTTACTCTTAGCCACATTCAGGGGTCTCCCCACCATGGTTTGCATGTGGTTCTCCTCTCCAAAAATTCAGGTTGACATTTAATCCCCATTGCAAGGTATTAAGAGGGTAGAAACTTAATGTGACTGGTGTTTAGAGGTGGAGCCTTTGAGTAGGATTAGATAGGAGTGTCAGAGCCCCCACCATCCTGGTGGCTTTATGAGAAAGGAAGAAACAGGATTCACATGCACTTCCTGTTTCCCACTGTGTGATGCCCTCACCCATACTGGAACTCAGCTATTCTGGAAGACTATCACCAGACATGGCCCTAAGTCTCAGCTCAGAACTCTGAGCCAGAATCAGCCTGTTTCCTAATAGCTTGTCCTATGCTGTTGTATTACTGCAAACAGAAAATGGACTAAGACATTCCCCTTCTAGTTCTTTCTACCCTTTCCTAACTATTCACTACTTTCTGGGTCCTCAGCTTTCAATTCAAGCCTGGCAGATCCCTAGTTGCAATAGAGGATGGTCATTGCCTCCTTGTTAAGCCTGCGCCCCCGGCAGAGAGGGAGTCTCAATTGCCCACTGTGGCTCCTGAGTGAAGAGGTCCCAGCAGTAGGCACCATGGTAAACACCTATTGTGTGATGAGTCTGCATATCAAGGGGGAAGAAAGATCTGGAAAACAAATTGGAGTTGGATAAGGATGAGATCTAGATGAGGTTATCTTAGCATTTATGCTGTACATTAAGAAACCTGGAACATCTGGTAGGAGAATTAAATTTCTTGGCTCACAAGTGTTACTTATTGGTACTAAGAGCTAGACCTTGCAGCACATACTGTGTGCCTGCCTGCTTCTCAGCCCTTGACATGCACTGATTTGTCAACCCATGAGCTCCATAGTGATATCCCTCTTATCAGGTAGGAAACTGGTATTAAGTCATTAGCACTGTCCCTGCTACATGTAGATGCTCCATAAATGGTGATGGTAATTTACCAGTACTATTATTAGAATCATTATTATTTTTATTAGAATTAATCTAATATTAGTAATATTAGATTATTATTATTAGAATATTTACTATTTTTCCAAAAGAAAATATATGTAAAGGTTTCTCACAATGTAGATGAAAATGTAGGAATCCAACCTAAAATTCACAGTGTTCTTCAGGGAGTCCAGAAAGTTCAGAAGCAATAATTAAAATTTAAAAAACAAAAACTACTGAAGAGATAAATATTTGAATTTGACAATTAAAGTCTGTCACATGATCTAAGCAATATGAGAATGTCAGGAGAAGGAGGGGTCTGGAGGGAGTGTTTAGAGAAGGCCTTAGGGGAAATAACTACATTTGATGGGAAATGAGGGGGTCAGACCCCCTAAGGTTAGTGACTTCAGACCAGTACAGTCTGGAAAATTTCAAAGGGAGACTGTGGTCCCTCCGCCTGTCTTATCCCCACAGCTCAGGGACTCAGAGCTCAGCCTGGACCAGTCCCAGGCTGAGCAGGATGCCCTTCTGTGCTGTATTATGGCCAGCTTGAGAGACAACAGGCCCCTCTACCTCCTCAGCCCTGTTCCCTGTACCAGGCATAGAACAAGGGAGCTGGGCTACAGGACTTCTGAAGGCCCTTAGCATTATAAAGAAATGATTTGAGATCAGGACTAACATTCAGCTGTGCCCCAGGGGCTTGGCATGGACCAGGTTCAGTAAATACTGTTTTCATGCTCTTGTCAAAGTGGAATTCCAGTTATAAATGTCGTGTTTGTCCTCCCTGTCTGGCCTCCAGTCCTAACTTGCCTCCCTGCCTCCTTCTCATTCCCCACATCAGGCCAAGTGTAGAAACATGGAGTACACACTGCGGGAGAAAGCCAAGGCCTTCTGGGCCATGCGACGCTCCTACGAGGCCATCGCCAAGCACAATCAGGTGAGTGCTTGGACCCAGCGTGCAGCCAGGGAGAAGCAGGGGAGGGTTGGCCTTGGCTCTGTTGATGCCGCCCATGGGCTAGCTGTGGACTTGGAAGTCTCATACAGCCTTGCTCTCAGCTGCTGACTGGGCTACACTGCCTCACTGAAGACCTGGGCATGGCACGCCAGCAGCACAGGCATGGCCTAAGAAGCCACCCGTGCCATTGCACTGTCATTTAAGAATAACCTCAGTGTGTCCTGCCTTTCGCCATTCACTCCGTGCAGGCCCTCGCCGACTGGGCTCCTGTGATTCCTGGTGTCCTTTCAGTGCCCGTGTCCACTCCACCACAGCCCTGTTCCCTGTCTCTGAACCACACATGTCCATCGAACTCCACCTGCATTGCTGCGCCTCCTTCCTGGCCTGCTCCCTGCTTCTGTTCTTGGTTTTCTGTTCTTTGTTCTGTTCTTTCCACTCTCTGAGCACTCCAGTGGTCTTTTGGAAAAGCACATCGCTGTGCCATTCCTCTGTTAAAATCACTAGTGTAGTTCCGTGTCCCAGACTGCGGTCCAGACTCCTTCCCATGGCCAAGGCTATCGTCTGCCCCTTGCCTGCCCCAAGTTCATCTGCTGTTCTGTGGCTTGGTGCTCTGTGCTTCTGCCACTTCTGTGGCCTTCTCTGTCCCTTAAATGAGCTAAAGCTGTTCCCCTGGCCCTATAGTCAAAGATGCCTTTAAAATTTCAGCTTACACGTCCCTTGGGAAGCTTTCCCTGCTGCTACCCAGACTAGCCCTTCCCTTTTACCCTGCTTCAGGTCTCCCTCATTTTCTTCAAGACACTTCATTATCTTGTTGTTTTCTAGTTTGTCCCCTGTCATCAAAATACAAGGAAAGTGAGCACATTCCCAATGTCTGGAAGGTCTGGGCACCTGTAGGGGACCAGTAATGAGCTTGTGGCTGGTTCCATAGCTAGATATTAGGAGGCTTCCCTGAGCCCAGTCCTTGGCCACTCAGGCACTGTAGGGACTTCAGGGGAGTGCCCAGCAGCCCGAACCAGGTGTGTCAGCTGTGGCTGAGATGAGTGCAGCTTGGTGGTAATTACTAGAAGCAGTCATCTCTCAGAAGGTGAGAGACCAGAGCCAGCGTCAGCGAGACAGTCAGAAACTAGCCTGTCTGAAGCTGAAGGAGCAGAGCAGGAGTCAGGGCTGTGAAATACAGAGGCCAGGGCAGTAAGCTGCAGGCTGACCTTGGAAATCCAACCCTGTGTCTACATGCAGATCCCTCGGCCCCCACCAAACTCATGCACTCACCTGTAGAAAGAAATTCCCTCTTCCTAGGATTTTTGTGAAACTTTGAGATAAGGTAATGCATCTTGAGTGCCCACAGAGAGAGGCCATTCAACGTTTGTGATGTTTTGGAGACCAAGAAGCTGAGTTGACAGAGTGACACCATTTGATCATCTTAGGTCAGAGCCATGAGTACAGACCGAGATTCCAGTCCACAAATGAGATTGCAGCCTGCCGTTTCTGGAGGACACCGTTTGTGGTGTTCTTCTGGTGCTGTCATGGAGTCATCAGGCTTCATTTCTGCCCTGTAACCCATGTCGTCATGGCCAAAGCTGTTTGGCTGGCTTTGTGTGTAAACAAATAATAAAGGGAGACACAGAGACGAGGTGCAGAGGCAGGGAAGGTGTCCAAGTGGCCACGTTTATTTATACCAATAAGTTACGTTTGGTCATCAGTACCATAACTACATTATTGTTTAGAGTATCAGTAAGGTTGCTTATTCTGCAGTTAAATTTTACAGTTATAGTATGCAATGTAGGAGCTTTGTGCAGTTCTCAAGAAAGTCCATTGTCTGAAGTTACTGTTAGGCGGGCAGCTCCAGGAGCAGCAGAGCTTGGTGAAACATTGTAGTTATCTAGCAAATAATTTATTCCAAGGAACTATGTGCCTGCAATCAAGGTCGAGGTTTGATGAGCCTCTAACACAGAGGCTTCTCAGGGCGTTGCCATACCAGCTAGACATTGCATATATGTTAGCTATATTTAAGAGAGATTGCAGGGCATTCTAAAGGTGGGAAACAAGGTGCCTGTTACCCCCCAGGAGTTTGCTCACCAGGGGAATGCTTCCCGGTACATTTCCATGATCAGAATACCTACATTTGTGGGTGTGGGGCCGGACTGGGGGGAAGTGGGGGTGCATCCATCTCTCCATGCCAGGCAGCAGAGAGCTCTTAGGCTTCTTGTGGAGGCCAGGGTTCTTAAGGTGGTCAGGTTGAGGCCTCCAGAGTTCTAGCTGGATGGGTGCTTTTCCTGTAAATTCTCTGAATCCAAGTCACTGAGTATACATTCTGTCGTTTACCCCTTTACCATGAGGCTGTCCCTGCCAGTGTGACAGTGGCTGGAGTTGCCTCGGCTCTTGCCGAGTTTTCCTCTTTGCTCCATCCTTCCTTGTCCTGTGTGAGAAGAATCAGTAGATTCCATTCTTCCTAGGAGGTCTGTTCTCGTTTGCCCATCTTTTCACAGTATAGATTTCTTCTGTGAATGATGTGAATGCCAATTCATATCCTTTTTTTGTTCTTGGAATATTTGTCTTTTCTCCCATGGGATTTTTGGAGTGCTTTGTATATTAAGACTAATACTAGTTTGTTGAATACATTGCAAACATTTTTCCCAGTTTGTCATTTCTTTTTCAATGAATTATTTTCAGGGTTTTTTTTGGGGGGGGTCATTTATACAGTAATCATTTTGGAATTACATGCTTGTATTTAACCCTGCTTATAAGGTCTTGCCATTTAAAGCTTATCTTTTATGTACATTCATTTATCTCATTGTTTGAGTCTTTTTTGTTTCATATTATGCTAAGCAATTTCTTATTCTCAGGCAAGAAGTATTTCTTTGCTTTTTCTCTGAGTATTTGTATGGTTTGGGTCTCATTTTCTTAATATTTTTTGTGATTATGATTTAGAATGTCCACATTTTTATGGTTGAGTGTTAAATATTTCCCACTGTTTTAGTAAACCCTCTGGATCAGACATATTTAAGGGCAAAAGATTTGAAGGCAAACAAGTTTTAAAAATTGTTGCTATTTGAAATAATTCACTCTGTCACACAGGGTTTTCCATGCTATTGAGAACCCAAATGAGATACAGACTGTTGTGTGTGAGGAGGTTACAGGACTAGGGTTATCATCAATAAGCAGTGATTTCTTTTTTTTTTTTTTTTAAAGAGGGTCTCACTAAGCTGCTTAGGGCCTTGCTGAGTTGCTGAGGCTGGTCTTGAACTTGAAACCCTCCTGCCTCAGTGTTCCAAATCACTGGGATTGCAGGCGTGCACCACCGTGCTTGACCAGTGATTTCTAAAAAATTATCAAAACAGCTTCTATGCCCTCCCATTTGAAATTTAAACTTATACATTTGTGCTAGTCAAGTCTTGCGTCGATGCTTCATCTCTGCGGTTCTACATAGGATTCTTTCTGAAAGTCTGAAGGTCACCAGCTTGGGGACAGCAGAGGCTCCCCAGGTCTGAGTCACTGACTCTGCTCTCTGCTGCAGGTGGAGGCTGCGTGGCTGGAAGGCCGCATCCGGCAGGAGTTCGACAAGCTCCGTGAGTTCCTGAGGGTGGAGGAGCAGGCTGTTCTGGACGCTGTGGCCCAGGAGACCAGGCAGAAGCAGCTCCTGGCCGATGAGAAGATGAAGCAACTCACAGAAGAGACGGAGGTGCTGGCCCACGAGATTGAGCGGCTGCAGATGGAACTGAAGGAAGACGACATCTCTTTTCTCATGGTGAGGAGCGCGGCCGCTGCGTTCTGTGATGGGGACGGATGTTCAGGGACCAGAGAACCATGGTCACCAGCCCCGCCATGCCAGTCTTCCTGTGGCCTCCTGGCTTTGGTCCTGAGGGACGTCATCGGTGTGCTGCTAATCAGAGGCCACAGGCGTGACGGGGTGGCGTCTCCAGCCTCTTCTCTCCCCTGCCCTCCCTCTCTCTCGCTCCCCCTGTTCTCTTTGCTTTTGTGCCATCCTTGGTTTCTTCTCTCTACCCCTAGTAAACGGGGTCTTTCAAAATCAGATTTTTTTTATATTTAAATATGGCTTGTTCTCTCTTAAGAATGATTCCATTCTCACTTAAAAAAACAAATGCCATTGAGTTTATTTTTTTCTCACTTTGGTTGATTGCATCGTTGGGCCCCGCAGAGAAGTTTCTGTAACTTGAAGGCTGGTTTGTAAATCAGGATGATCAGGACGACACGCTATCCTCTTCACCACCGACAGCTCACCTTCTGGAATGGCGGGTGGGGGTGGGTGGCAAATACTGTGTTCCAGCAGTGTGTCCCATCCTGGGGAGGACCTTTGTGGGTTGACCATCTCATGTCAAGCCATGATATGCCTTTTCATCAGAGGGCACTGATTATAGAATCACTCAATGGATTTAAATTGGTTCTTTCCTTGAAGATTCTGCTAAGGAAATCTTCATCCTGCCAATGATTTTGGTTTGTGATTTTGTTTTTCTAAATAACAGCTTTATTGAGATACAATTTACATACTGCACTGTGTAAATCACCCATTTTTGTTGTTGTTATTTAGTTTTTTAAAAGATAGGATCTCACTCTTGCTTTGGCTGGCTTCAAATTGCTGGGCTCAAGTGATCTTCTTGCTTCCCGAATAATTGGAACTACAGCCCCACACCACTACACCCAGCTTGTCACTTATTTAAAACATACAGTTCATTGATTTCAGCCCTGTACAGTTGTGCAACCATCATGACAGTCTATATTTCAGATCATTTCATCCACCCAAAAAGAAGCTCCAAATCCTTTAGCTGTCACTCTCCTATCCCTCCTGTCCTGGTGCCTTTCAGCCACCAATCTCTCTTGTCTACCTAATTTGCCTATTCTACACATTTCACATAAATGGAGTCATATAATATGTATCTTTTGTGACTGGTTTCTTTCACTCAGCATATTTTGAAACTTCATCCATGTCTTAGCATCTAATAGTTCTTTCCTTGTTATGGTTGAATGATACTATTCCATTGTATATTACATTTTATTTGTTCATCAATTTGTGATTATTTGGGTTGTTTCTACTTTTTGCTCTTGTAGGTAATGGGGCTATGGGCTATAAACATTCATATACCAGGGTTTTGGTTTGTTTTGTACTGGGGGTGGAACCCAGGGTGCTTTTACCACTGAGCTACATCCCTAGTGCTTGTTTTTTTTTTCAATCTTGAGACAGAGTCTGGCTGACTTGCTTGAGGTCTAAGTTGCTGAGGCTGGCCTTGAACTTGTGATCCTGTCTCAGCCTCCCAAGTCACTGGGATGACAGGCACACGCCACCACACCCAGCTGATGTACCAGTTATATGCACATGTTTTCATTTCTCTTGGATGTTGCTAGCTTCTTTGGTAACTCTGACCCTTTGAAGAGCTGCCAGATTCTTTTGCAAGGCAAGTGCACTGTTTTATATTCCCATCAGCGGTGAATAATGATTCTACTTTCTCTACATCCTTGCCAACTCTTTATATATATATTTTATAAGTAGCCATCCCATTGAGTTTGAAGTGGTATCTCATTATTTTGATTTGCATTTCATGATGGCTAACGATATTTAGCATCTTTTCATGTGCTTATTGGTCATTTGTAGATCTTCTTTGGAGAAGTATCAATTCTACTTTTTTATCCATTTTTTTAATTAGGTTGTTTCTTTGTCAGTTGTAAAAATTCTTTGTGTTCTAGGCACAAGTTCTTTCTCAGCCTATATTTAGGCTTTTGATGTATTTTATGTCATTTTTTTAAATATGGCATAAAGTTAGGGTCCACCTTTATTCTTTGACATGTTATTGTGTACTTTAACAATTTTTACAATTTGTTGGAAAGACCATTCCTCTCTTAAATGATTTTGCTGCCCTCATAGATAATTGGCTGACAGTGAATGTGAGGGTTTACTTCTGGACTTTCAGTTCTGTTCCTTCCATTGATCTCCCCGTCTGCCCACATGTTAGTCCTGCACTGTCTTGACTACTGTTGCTCTATAATAAGCTGTGAAATTGGGGAGTGTGAGTCCTCCAACTTTACTCTTCTTTTTAAAGATTATTTGGCTCTTTGGGGTTCCTTGAATTTCCATATGAAATTTAGAATCAGTTTCTACAAAGAAAGTACCTAGGATTTTGAAAGGAATTCTGCTGAATACCTAGATCAGCTTGAGGAGAATGGATGTCTTAACAATATTAAGTCTTCTGATCCATGAACATGGGGTGCATGGCTCCTCTTGAGGTCAGAAACTTACTATGCTTTCTCTGTGTCTGTGTCTGTGTCTTTCAGAAACACAAGAGCCGAAAGCGCCGGTAAGTTGCCAAGTCTGGTGGAGGGGAGGGGAAGAGCAGGCAGAAACACCAAAGGTGCAAAATCCAGTGGCTCCAGGGCCAGGCAGGTAACGCAGCCAGCTGATGGGATCCGCAGGGAGTGGTGGGGACTGCCAGATGGAGAGACTTTTCTTTGAGGCTCTCCAATTCTGGCAGGCATGGAGGGTCTCCAGCCACTGTGAGGGGAGGGAGAGCAGCATGCATCGACTCATGCTTCTCAGTGGCCTTCTAACATTTAGACATCTTTCTTGACCAGCCTCCTCCCTCTGAGAGCTTCAGGACAGGCCCTTGGCCTGCACACTCGTGTGCCTTGATGGCTTTGGGTTCTCTGGGATGAATAATTAAGAACTATGTCCCTGTCTGAGCTGTCCAAAGATAAAAGAGAGGGCTTTGGGAAGTAGGGGAAGTAGTGAGTTCCCTGTCATCAGAGGTGCTCAAGCAAAGGACTGAGACCTCTTGGTTTTGTTGGAGTAGAGCACTGTTAAGGTCCCTTCCAATTTGTTACACATCCCATAAGCAGATGTGTAAGTGTGATTTCTGTCCACAAGGATGGCAGCCGTGTTGGAGAACCTCCTATTTCTATCTCTCCCAGCTGGGGCGGGATGAGCCCTCCTACTGAATCCTGAAGGGTGTGGCAGCTCAGTCGGTTCCTGGACCAATCCAGGTTTGTCTTGGGGAAGGCGACCAGGAAACCTAGGCCTGAGGCAAGGGAGCAAGGCCTGTTGCCCATTTCCAGTGAACCCAGATCAGCCCAGGTGCTTTGCCCCAACTGCACCCACCATGCCCAGTCCTCCTTCCACAGGCTCTTCTGCACCGTGGAGCCGGAGCCCATCCAGCCCGGCATGCTCATCAACCCCTGCCGGTACCTGGACTCCCTGCAGTACCGCGTGTGGAAGAAGATGATCAGTTCCATCAAATCTGGTAAGGGGGTGCAGGGAGGTGTTCGCGCCCAGGGAAAGTACTTCATGCTAGCTCAGAGCTGCCAAGCTCCACTCTGCCAGGCTCTGCCCATTCTCTCCACTGGCCTCCCTGCAGGCCCTTGACCCTGGTCATCTCCCTCCTGCCTGATGGCTGCAGCCCCTCCTGGCAGACCACCTTCCTATACAGGCCCTGACCCTCTGTCCTCTTCAGAAAGAGAAATACTTCCTCTATTCAGAACTGTAACGTGTATAATGAAAGGCCTTCTCCGTCCAAGGTCACCAAAGGACCACACACAGGGTGCCTTAAATGACAGAAACCCATTCTCTCGTGGTTGTGAAGGCTAGATGCTTATGCTCAGGTGACAGCAGGGCTGTGGTCCTCTGAAACCTGTGGCAGGGACCCTCTGTGTCTCTTCTACCTTCTGGTGTTGGCTGGCAGGCCTGGCTGCCCTTGGCCTGCAGCTGCAGCACCTCACCCTCTGCCACATGGCTTTTCCCCTCGTGTTGTCTCCATTCCCCTTTTTATAAGGGCACAGTCAAGGTGGGTTCAAGTTCCACCCTGCTCCAGTCTGACTTCGTCTTAACTGTATTTATAGTAACGCCCATTTCCAAATAAAGGCACATTCTGGGCCACTGGGTGGGGGCTAGGATTTCCACATACCTTTTGGCGGATACATTTGAACCCATGATTCCCATCAACCCAGGGCAACTAGAACTGAGGTGGTCATTTTGGGGCCCTGGGGACACCACCTGGTGTGGCAGGTGGGAGAGGATCAGGTTTGCTGACTGCCCCCCTTCTGCCCTCAGTGCCCTTCAGCTTCGATCCCAACACTGCAGCAGGCTGGCTCTCGGTGTCTGATGACCTCACCAGCGTCACCAACCATGGCTACCGCGTGCAGGTGGAAAACCCAGAGCGCTTCTCCTCAGCACCCTGCCTGCTGGGCTCCTGCACCTTCTCTCAGGGCTCCCATGCTTGGGAGGTGGCCCTGGGTGACCTGCAGAGCTGGCGGGTGGGTGTGGTGCGGGTGCAGCCAGATACAGGTGCAGAAGGCCACTCACACAGCTGCTACCATGACACACGCTCTGGCTTCTGGTACGTGTGCCGCACGCAGGGTGTGGAGGGGGACCACTGTGTGACCTCGGACCCGGCCACCTCGCCCCTGGTCCTGGCCATCCCGCGCCGCCTACGTGTGGAGCTGGAGTGCGAAGAGGGCGAGCTGTCCTTCTATGATGCTGAACATAACTGCCACCTATACACCTTCCATGCACGCTTCGGGGAGGTGCGGCCCTACTTTTACCTTGGGGGTGCGCGGGGTGATGGGCCCCCTGAGCCCTTGAGCATCTGCCCCTTGCGCATCACTATAAAGGAAGAGCTGGACATCTGAACTGGCCCAGGCCTGCTGGATGCTGTGCCGTGGGCTTGCTTGATTCCTGCCTCTTCCTGAAGCCCACCCCCGGCCTCAGCACCTCTGCCCACTACCTTTTGAGGTGCCAGCATCCTCTGCCATTCCGTCTTGCCTTTTTCTGTGACTCTAGGCCCTATGCCTCGTCTTTATTTTTGGTCCCTTCTCTGCTCAGTTAAAAGCCATCCAGGAAGTACCTCACTGGGTCCAGGCTCTACCCAGGGTGTGAATTTTTAAGTCCTCATTTGAGAATTTCTGGAGAAAATGTTTACTTCTAGAACAGGCCTGTTTTAAAATGTAGGTTTTATTATTTTCCAGGTATGGTTAAACCAACTAATCAGGAGATGACTGCTGTTGGAAAGAGTCTGTCACTCATTTCCCAGCCATGCCACATGGAGCCACACAGGAAAGCACTAGGGTCAGTCAAGATGCAAAGGGAAAGAGGGGAAGGTGCTGGCAAAGCCTGTGCTGTGGTTTTCCTGGGAAGGAATGGGTGGGGTAGCATAGACCAGGTGGATGCTCACCAGTCTTGAGTAGTTGCAGTGGGTGGGTTCTGGCGTGTGAGGACAGCTCCTCGTTTCTTGCACCTGCCTTAGGATGATTAGGACAGGAGATGTTGACTTGGCAGAGAGCCTGCTACAGGAAGTGGTGAGATTCCATGGTCTAGGTTGGCTGGACTCACGGGACAGGCAGCCTTCAGGCCTGTTGGCTGTCTAGGGATTGGCTAGCTTAGGAGCTGCAGTCACTCCAGTACCGGAACATCAGGAATTCAGCAAATAAGCAAACAGTGCAGGGCTCAGCTTAGCTACTGCTTTATGTTACTAATTTAAAACTTGCACAGATCTTCCTGGGGGTCCTGTAAGGTAGGAGGCAAAGCTGCCCATCCCTATCCTTCAACTCCAGTTTATCTGGTTGTACATCAAGAGCTAATCTCCTCTGAACCAAGAGCTCCTAAGCACTTAACAAACTTAAAATCATGCTGTGCACCTGTTCCCTCGCTGGGCCTCACTTTCCTCATCTGTACAATAGACAGTGGGACTAGAAGACCATGTCCTTCTATAATTCTGTGGGGTGAGTTCCTCTGGTGAAAGTATGAGAAGGGAAGGGACGAGGTGCCCTCTCCAGTTAGGAAGAAAGGAAGGGTGTGATCCAAGGGAGGCCGTTCGGAAGACAGGTGCTGTGCAGTGGGAAGGAAGGCAGTGTCCCTCGTCCTCACTGCTGCGTGTCACTGACCTCAGCTGGCTTGCTCCCTGTTGGGTTTCATTCCTGTTTCTCCTCTCCACTGTAAACCTCCACCTTTCCTTTCTCATGCCTGCAAATGCTTTCTAATTTCCAGCTCACTGTGTCCTGGGAACTGGCAACATGGAAGGAGATACTGTCCCGTGGGTACCGTGTTATAGTTAGGGGCACGTTCCAGCCTGGATTCCCCACTTCATAACAGCTGATGTTCTAAACAGCAATTAGGAGTCCTGGTTATAAGTGTGTTGTGCACATTGGTTATGTAACTAGTGGGGAGGGACCAGGTGTGACATGCCACTGGGGCCAGCTTGGCAGTTGGCAAATGAGCTCACTTGTGTCAGATTCTCAGGCCCACCCCCCACCCCCCCCCCAAAAAAAAAGCTCTATGCACTTTGGGACCCAAACAGTTGTGAGTGTGTGTGCTCTGCTGGGGTTTAACCTGTCAAGTACAGATTCTGTATGATCAGCCTGACTTGTTGGTTAGAATAAATGTTTAAAACTATTTTCACCCAAGCTATTACGAGGTTTTTTTTTTTTAAGATATAGGATAATTTGGATAGCCTAGGCCTCCTTTTCAAAGAAATAAAAATGATGTGCTTTTTCTTTTGACATTATTTCTTTTGGTGTTTTTGTAAGCCAGAGTTTTTCCATGTTGTAGTATGTATTCTTATTGTAATATTCCGTTGTATGAAATGATGTACTGTGTTTTATTGTTCGCCAATTGATGGGTATTTGGCCTGTTTCCACGTTTTGTTGGTTTTGAGTAGTGCTGCTGGGAACATCTGTGTACAGATTTTTCTGTGGATCTGTCTCTCTTTCTCTTTGGTGTCCACCTAGGCATAGACATGCTGTGTCTTATGGTGACTCTTCTTAACCTTTTGAGGAACCGGCAAGCTGCTTTCCGATGCAGCCTTTGACTCCCACCAGCAGTGTGTGCAGATTCCGGGTGCACAGCACCCTTGTCAGCACTGTGATCTGTGTTCTGACTTAGCCCTCCTGTGACGGTGAAGTGGTATGGCTTTGGCTTTGATTTGTATTTCCTTGATGCTGATACCGAGTAGCTTTTTCATGTGCTTATTGGCCATTTGTATATCTGTTTGGAGGAACTGTCTTCAGAGCCTTTCCCCATTTTTAGCTGGGTTGTCTTTTTGTTGAGTTGTAAGGGTTCTCTATGTAATCTAGAGACTAGTCCCTTTGTCAGATATAGAACTTATAAACTTTCCTCTTCATTTTAGGTGTGTCCATTCACGTTCTTGGTGACATCCTTTGAAACCCCCAGTTTTTTAATTTGGATATTGTCCAGTCTGTTTTTTTTTTTTTTTTTTTTTTTTCGGTTGCTTACAGATCTTAGGAATCCTACTTTTGACACTGCCCTTAAGACCATCTGGCCTTGGTTCTGGATATGCTCATGGTAAGGTGGCTATCCTGTTGGCAGCGAGCCCCTCTCCAAGGGTCTTCCTTGAATACTCTCCCACCTGTACCTCTTACTCCTCATTCCGGCATCCACCCTGGAGGCAGCAGCCCCCTGTACACTGCCTGTCTTATTCTCCTTTTGAATCCATCTATGTGCTGCCACCAGATGCACCATCCTTTGGTCTCCAGTGGCCACCCAGAGTGGCCCCCACTCCTGACCTGCTCATGTGCATTTCTGCAATGCAGCTTTCGGAGCTCACTGTGGCTGGACTGTGTTCTACTGGGTGTCCTGGCTCCATCTCACATGGCTCCAGGCACACCAGGCTGTCACACACGCTGCCTGGTACTCACAGGGCCATTTGTATCATAGTGACCTGCTGTTGGTTACTCGGACTGTTCTGGTTATATTTGCTGCACCACCTGTGTGCTGATGTCTCAGGCACACTTCTTACCTGCCTGGGCTTATGTCCTCATCTGCAGATCTTCCCTAACCCCTAATTGTGTGCCCTTTAGATGGGAGCCCAGGGAGCAGACTTGTGAGTGCCAAGGCAAATAGCAGGAGAGTCCCCTCTGGCTCCTTGAACTTGCTCATTGGCACCAGTGATCACTTGGTCATAACTCAGTGTGTAATAGCCATTTTCTTCCTTCTTGCTTCTGAAGGGTGAAGTTTTGGCAGAATGGGATTTTTGTTGGTTAACTATCAAAACAGTGGCAGTCTGGTGAGCCCCATGGTTAGTGATGGTGCCCGGCAGGAGTGTTCCCAATACCTTAGATATTAACAGAACTCTCCCCAGTAGGCTTCTGCCCACTTTGCTTCTGTTGTTATAGATCCTGCCCAGGGTTCCTGGGCTGCTATTGCGTGTTGCCCCTCCTGCTGGAAGGCACCCGACTATCTTCTCTGCTTAAGTGTAGGGACTACATCATTATCACCTTTGCTATCCTAGGTCCAGGGATGTCCCAGGCCACAGTAGGTGGTTCTTGTGTGGATGCATCATGTCAATGATGGGTCATAAATACAAAGTAGGAGCAAGATAATAATGGGGCTGAAAAATTCTGATTAGCATCTTTCTGTGCCTTCTCTGTGTTTAGATATGTACTGTGTCACGGTGGCCGGCAGTGCCACTGCAATAGCATGCACACAGGTTTGCAGCCTTGGAGCGGGGGCTGTACCACACAGCCCAGATGTGCAGTAGGCTGTGCCATCGAGGTTTGGTAAGCACACTCAGTGTTCACAGTGACAAAGTGGCTGAAGAGTGCACATCTCAGAACATATCTCTGTCACTAATCAACATGCAACCTTTTAGAGGTATGACCTGCAGGTCAGGCAAGCTGTCCTCAACTACTCCACAAAACAACTGGTAGCATTTGGTAAGGAACAAGGGTCAGGATCCTGGACCCAGATTCCAACCCTGCGATGGAGAAACTACCTGAGGCTTTTGGACATCTGCTGCAAGTAGAAAGAGGGTGACAGTACCTGCCTCAGGCTTCTCAGGGATCCAGTGAGGCAGACTTTGGAAAAATGCCGAGTATTCCACCCTAAACCTAGTATAGGCTTATTACTGTTGGCTAATTCTTCAGCAAGTGGGACGTTCTGCATGTTGAAATTATGATTCACAATCACGATGAATCCCAAAGAAAAGTGAGAAGCTGAGATGTGGAAGTTATGTTGGGAATGCTTACTTTCCTTCAGATTTTTGACAAGAGTATGTCTATACAACTTAACATTTGTGAAAAAGTTTCAATAACATGGAAAAGTAGTTGTAGTAACCAAGAAAAATAGGTTTCAGAGTTAAACATACAGACCTGGAATGCACTTACAAAAAAAGGCAAGCAGTAATTTGCCTTTAATTTGTGTGTGTGTGTGTGTGCGTGTGTGTGTGTGTGTGGCGCGTGTGCACATACATGTGTGCTTGTGTATGTTTGATAATCTGTTTACATGGCAATAAACCCAAAGGTACAAAATGTACTAGAACAATCTCACACCTCTGCACATTCAGCTCTCCTAGTAGGCAGTCCCTCCTATCTGTTTTTCATCTTTACAGAGAGATTCTGTGTATGGCACATAGTCTACAAGAGTATTCTGCCCCTCCCTGCCCAGCACACTATAATTAAAATGCAGATTGTCCCATACTGTATCTGTAAGCAACCCAGCATGAGGAGAAAACTCCAAGCATGTTATTAAAATAGTTTTACCTTCTCAAGGGGGAGGTTTGTCTGGGATGTTTTCATGCACTCAGTTCAATTGGTTTTTGTTTAAATATTGCATTATAATTGGTGTCTAAAACCAAGAGGAGAAAAGCTAAATGGAAACCTTAAACCTAAGACTTCAACGTAGTTTTTTTTAAAATCTCTATCCTCCCAAAGGTGTCCATTGGCTAAAAGGCTGGATATGGTGTTGGACGCCCAGAGTTCAAACTGACCACCACTGTGACCCTGGGGGGAGACAACCCCTCTGCTTCTTGGTGTCATCATGTGGAAAAGACCTAAGAGTTCCTGTCTCTTAAGGTGGTTATAGACTTTAAGGGAGCACGTGTGTAAAACTCTGGAAGTTGGACAAATATTGACAGCTGAGTTCACTATCGTTACACCTGGCCCTGGTCCTCACATAGCTGCGAAGCTTTGGTAGAGCATTGAACTTCTGTAAACAGGGCAACTTGGACACTTGCATGTTTTTCCCCAGGTCCACCCGTGTCATTGGCAAGAGCTATGTGTCCCAAAGAAGAGAAGACAGCTGCCTACAGTCTTCAAGAATCTGGGTGTGGTACCAGAGGCTTTGCCTCATGTTTTGAGCCTGGAGAAAAAGAGTCATAATGTTTTGGGCATAGCAGAAGATTCTAGAGAGGAGCAGATCTTTACAAATCATAAAATTAGTCATCGTATCATGCACAATGAAATTGTGTTGTCATGTTCCAAAATGGTTCATGTAGCTGTATGCATGAAGATGATGTCAAATACTGACTCATGCCCAGTGAAGGTGATCTTAATGATAGTGATTTGGATTGGACAAAGACAATCGTTAGTGATGGGAGAAGCTGAGCTTATTAATATTCCCTTCAGGATTTCAGAAAGAACAGAACTTTGTGCCCCGGCCTGTCCCACCTTCTCCTTCCAACAGTAACCAGAGGGTGGGAAGACAGGTCAGTAAGGACTGAGTCTGATGGCAAGGGAAGCCTTCCTGCTCTGGGGTGTTGTTTGTCCTTGTTTGTGGGTGTTGCTCCGGTGGGTTTCCTCTGCCAGGGAGCAGGCTGGGGAAGATGGGAGATTTGGTTTCTATGGATACTGGCTGGCTGGGATTTGCATAATGTAGTGCAGAGAACAGACAGTCTGGGAACACTGTAGACCAGGGAGGAACACAGAGGCACATGGAAATGAGTTGGAGGGCCAGGGTAGCCAGACTCCATTCAACCCTGTTCTAGGGAAGGAAGTCTGTCCCTTGCTGCTCCCTGAACAGCAGCAGCATGGAGCCTGAGGAAGGAGGGAGGCATGTGAACAGCGCCCCCCACAGGGCATGGCACACACTGGGCTCAACCAATCCAGGGCTCTTCTGCTTCCTCCCCTGAACTCCACTGTTGGCAAAGGCTGCTCTTCCATGACCACCTGCTGTGTGGACCTCCAGTTTACTCAAGAGGCATTCCAAGTATGTTCTATTTTAATCCTTGCTTCCAGCCAACCACCATGTGAGACAGATGCAGGAAGCTTATCAAAGCCCCATGAGTGATCCTTCATAGAGCCAGACCAAATCCATTTCCTGGAGTTAATATCCCCAGATCCCAGAGCACCTTCTAGGCTGTACGCCAGTAAATGTGGCCTAACTGGGACAATTCAGTTTGAGGGTCTGACCCTAGGTAGGGAGTGTGGGATAAAGAGGAGATATTCTTTTGGAAATACTGGAGCAGGGTGGGATTGCCAGGCCGTGTGGACAGAGTGCTCTAGGTGAGGAAGGTTGGGAGTCTGGTGGCTGCCAGGCTTCTGGCTTGAGTGACTGGTGGTGGCCACTGAGGTAGGGACTAGAGAGCAGGTGAGTTTGTGCTGTGCTTGTGGGACTTTCCGGTGGAAGCCTGGAGAAAGCCATTTGTCACAAGAGCACTGTAACTCAGGGTCTGGATGTGAGGGAATGGGGTCAGGAGTCATTGGCACATGGTCTTGTTGAGGCCACAGGAGTCTGGGCTCTCACATGGGAAGTTAAATAAAGAGATGGACAAAATCCTGGGGAGCAATGACCCTTTAAGAAGTGTGCCCAGGGTTTGGTTAGAGAAATAAATTGAGGGCAGAACGGGAACCCAAAGAAGGTGATGTGACAAGGAAAACAAAATGACAATAATGACAAAAAACATGTTGAAGGTAGAAGGGAGTGAGCTGTCGGAGAGCCGCGTGAGACGGAGCTGGGAGATACTTCACTGACTCCACTGTAAGGCTGTGTGTGTGGTGGGCGGCCCTGGTGCGGCTGCTCCCAATTCCAGTGAAGACAGATGAAAACCCCTGTCCCCCACAAAAGTGGCACATGTCCAACATATTGGCAGAAATTGGGAGGAATCCCCTAACTATAAAGCCATGGGAGATGGAGTTTTAACGCCCACCTGGAAACAGACCCATGCCCACTTCTGCATCCTGAGGAACGGGTGCTACTGAGGTTCTGACATTGGATTTTGGGGTTCCAGCAAGGTGGTGATTTTTGTGCTGCAGAGTTGTATCTATAGGTTAGTCCTTGGAGTCTTCCCTGTGGCTCTCAGAGGGCTTGGTCTCAGCAGTGGGAATGAACAGGAAAGGACATTGACACCAGGTGACAGAGAAGCTTGCTGAGATTAATGTCTGTTGAGTGTAAACAAATGAAGCAACCCCCAGGTTGAAAGTAAATTTGGGAAACAAAAATTTAGGTTGTGGAAGCCGGCCATTCTCCTCACCTGGAAGAGACCTCCCAGTGGTTGAGGTTAAGGTCCCAGCATCATTTTAATTGGGGGAGTTTCCATACGTGTCCTAACTCTACTGATCCCATGCTATCTTTTTTAAAATCGTTTTTTCACTTTATCTGATACACAAAAGTTGTACCTATTTCTGAGCTGCCAGGTGATGTTCAATAGATGCAAGTCAGGGTAAGAATCTCTGTCTCCTCAAACATTTATCATTTATCATTTCTTTGTGGGGAAAACAGTCAAACTCCTTTCGTCTAGCTTTTTGAAATGGACATTATATATCATTGTTATCTGTGGCCACCCTACTATGCATGGCGCAGCAGAGCTTCTTGCTCCTGTCTGACCATGACTTAGTCCCCCTTGGCCAACCTCTCCCCAGCCTCTGGTAACCACCTTTCTACTTGTATGAGATCAACTTTTTGTCTGAACTGCTTTTTTAAGTGGTCAGGAATACTGTTTCCTTCTGTTTGTCTTGCTGTATTCATTCAGTTACTGCAAGCCCAAGAAAACGGTGGTCAGAGGAGAGGGAACCAACGATCACATCTAGCATCCTGGGAGGTATAATTTCTTCAAAGCAGTAGAACAAAGATAGGAAGAACCCTTACCAGTATGCATGCAGGTCTGTAGCTTATAGCTGGCTATTTATGTTTTATTTATTATTTTTTTTAGTTTTAGGTGAGTACAATATCTTTATTTTATTTTTATGTGGTGATGAGGATCGAACCCAGTGCCTCACACGTGCTAGGCGAGCACTCCACCGCTGAGCTACAACCCAGCTCCTTATGTTTTATTCTAATCAGTCTGCTTTTTCATAGTTGTGAGAGCTGTAGACACAGAAGATCCCACCTCCAGACAGATCACCCTACTTGATGCTGAGCGGAGCTGGGAAGGTACTGGGCATCCAATGCCCTCAGCCTTATGCATGTCTTCATCCGATGGGTCCTACTGATGGCCAGTGGATTTATCTTTTGGTAAACCAAACTCATTTTTATTCTTTTGCAAATAACTAAATTTTTGTTGTGTTGTTTGTGCCTCCTGGTTAGCAGAGTTTACTTTGTAAATTTTTTTTGAAGATAGAAGGGAATGAGCTGCTGAACATTCCAGACCCAAACCATAGAAGGCAAGTAAGAAATTCACTTACTTTTACAAGTAAAAGGCTGGTGGAGGGAGTGTCTAAAGAACTGTAACAAGCCAGAAACTGGGAAAGAAACATGAAGGCAAATTCAGGCAGCATTGCCAGAAGTTGGGAGAGGGGCTTTTCTTTTCTATTTAAGAAAGAAAAAAGATAGAAGGCAGAAAATAAAAATCAATTTCAAAAATCAGAACGGTGTGGAACTAAAATGATGGGTACAATTAGATTCAAATTCATGGGACACATTCCGAATTACAGGATACAAAGTAAATTCTAATAATCCAGGATGGCACAAACAAAACAACAAAAATTTAGTTTTTTGCAAAAGAATAAAAATGAGTTTGGTTTACCAAAAGATAAATAAATGGGGAAGAAGGCATAGAATCTTGAGCAAAGATTGTGAATCATTGGAATTTTATACCTAGACGAATTTTGTGAAGACAAAAAGAAAAAAAAAAAAAGATTTCAAATATGTAAAGGTTCAGAAAATAAAATCTCCAATGAACTGTACTTGGAATAATTTAACTTTGTCAAAAAATATTTCTCGGAAGAAATGATGTATACTGTTAAGTATAATTTAATAACAATGATCTGATTAGATAACTTCAGGTCATATTAACCAGACCCTGAACATTTGGAGGCAAGGAAATATAGAATTTCTAAACTACTTCACAAAGAGGAAAAGGGGTGGAAAGGACAAGAATTTTAAAAAAAAATTTTGTTTTATTCTGTACTTTGATGCTGAAACAAGTATTAACTGAGCATTTATTTTAAGGGAGTATTAAAACACTGAGAGACTTTTAAAATAGCACAGTTTACTTCCAAAACAGGAAAAAATATAAAAGAAAGAAGAGTACATGCATTAAGACTGACATCAAGTAAATAAAGATCCACAAAATAAAGTCATTGCTGCTATGCCAACAAATTAACATTTTTAAAATGGTCTTATTTAAAAACTAAGGTTCTCAAATTAGAGTTTTAAGACAAATTATAATCAACTGTTTACAAAAATACTTCAAACTAAATGACCAAATGAACCACAGTAGCAAGAAATTTGGTTCTGAACAATACAAAGCCACACAGAAAGAAAACAGGATTGACAATAATTTCAGAAAGGAATTCAAAGTGGGATATAAAAGGATTTTCTTATTTTAAAAAAATTTATTTTAATATATATTAAATATATATTTTGTATAAAATATAAATATTTGTATAAAATATATTTATTTTATATATTTATTTTTATGTATTTATATTCATACTTATATAAATATGTATTTATATGATATATATATATAGCTCATTGTCACATATGCACTGCAAACGTGCTGGTATAATTATTGCCAAGAAACTGAAGAGATCCAATTGAAAACATATTAGAACTACTGCAAAACTGGTAAAGTGAAGTCTAAATCATGTTTATTTATAAATTAATACTTTTTTTTCGGAGCCCAGTTTTTTATTTGATCTCTTCTTACATTTGAAAAACTCTTTGATGATACATTTGACCTCCCAACAAGCCTCATAGGCTGGTGACCAGGCCTTTAGCATATGGGGGACATTCACAATCCAATCCAGAACAAGGCATAACTCTACCTATAATTTTGTTTCTAATATTAGGTTAAGTGACTTTCAATTTAATTTGGAGTAACAAGAAAAGAAAGCTAACCAAAATATTTTAGGTAAAATGACAATTTCACTAAACTTGTATTTAAGAAAATAATTCATACACTGGCACAAGAAAAATGTACAAAAGAGCCTCCCTTGTTCGTGACAGACCTAAAATAGGAGTGGAAAATAACCCAAATATCCACCAGTAGGGGAAGACTTAAGTGAATTATTACATATGACGGAACACTATGAAGCCACTTTAAGAAAACAAATTTAAGACATAAAGAAATGTTTTCTCGACTAAAGCCAAACATAAAACTCCAGCCGGTGCAATTCCAACCTTGTACAATCTTTCGTAGTAATATTGTTCTCCATGGAGGTTTGGGGACGGTTTGCTTATGCACAGTTTTGTTTTCCTCTCCTTCCTCGCCCCCCGCCCCCAACTTCTTCCTTTGTCTTGTAAACGAGAAAGCCTTACAACTGGCAGCCAGAAAAAGGTAACCTGTAGAAAACGTGAGTCACATTCAGCAATGAGGTGCCTTTTGGTGCCCTGCCACGGGTTTTGTTTTGACAACTGTGAGGCCAGGAGGGGAAACCTGAACACAAAAGCCAGGGGGACGGAAGCGCTGGGCTGCGTCCCAACAGAAAGAGGCCAAGCGCCAGGCAACAAAAGACAGCAGTCGCCTTCACTGATTAGGAATCAGGGTTTTGTCAGCAGGACCCAGGGTCACCCGCTGGAAAACAAGCAAGCGACAGCGGTGGCCTGAAAGCAACTGGTGAAGCTGCAACAGAAGGGCTAGGAGAGGACGCGAGGCCTGGAGGGGAGCCAGGCGGGGGCTGTGTGCACAACAAGCACGCCCAAGCCCCGAAGGTCCAGGTAAGTCGGACGCAGGAGCACGGAGTGGAGACGCAGCGTGCACAGAGGGACTCCCTTCTCCAGAGCCGAGCCACCCTCCCCCCCCCCCCCCCCCCCCAACACCGAGGCATCTGGGACTTCCTAGGTAGGAACGCCACGATTGGCTGCTGCCACTGGCATGATGTCACCATCAGCCAATCTAAAGTCAGTGCTCCGCCTAAGCTAAGGAGGTAGTTAGGGGTTAATTAACTCTTCCTAAACCCTGGAAGCCAGAAAAAAAGATGTCCCTCCTTTTTGACTTCTCTTTGCCTAGATAGAGAAGTGAGGAGTTAGAGATGGAAATAAAGCAAATAAGAACAAATGGTGCCAAGGTGTTGTAGATACAGGTACAGACATGGAGACACACACTCACACTTGGTGGGTAAATGTAATGGAGGTCTATTTAGAAATTTGTAAAAAGGTTGATCCAGAATTCCACTATATAGGGTAGTGTTTTAAAACATTTTGATGCAGTTTCTTCCTATATTTTAAAACTTAAAAGCGTAAGATTTTTATGTAAATTAGATCACATTTTATTTCTTGTAGCCTTCTTTATTCATTTACTGTTAGAATTTTCCTTTGGCATTTAATAGTCTTCAACTGTAGGAGGCTTGCTGCTCATGCCTGCAATCTCAGCGGCTGGGGAGGGTGAGGCAGGACAATGGCAAATTCAAAGGCATTCTTGGCAAGAATGCGAGACCCTGTCTCAAAAATAAAAGAATGAGAAGGGCTAGGGATGTAGATCAGTGGTAGGGCACCTCTGGATTCAGTCCTCAGTACCAGAGGGAAGGAAGACTTCAAGTATTTAGTGGCTGCAGA